TAGATACGATAGCCTGTGCTTTTCCACCTTTTGTTGAGTCGATGGCGATGATGTTGTTCCACGTGTTATATTTATTGTTAAGGACTATTGTTGTTCCTGCATTGCATCAAATGCCAAAGACCTCTAAATAAAATGAAATTAAAAAAATAAAAGCTTTTTACCAATAGCATCCCAGCCGACATTGGCAGGACTTCAGTTATGTATATATATATATATAACTGCATAACTCTGAATTAAACAACTGTTGATAAAGTCCTGCCATTAACAGATAAAATGAGATGAAACTTAGCCCGTTTATATACCTTCGAGAGACGAAGAACAGTCTATTATTCTATTCTAAACGCTCACAAATACCACGAAATAACTTCTTTTTTTAAACAAGACGAACGTAAGATTTTTTGAATAGGTCTTTGGTTCTAACTGTTCGCGGGCAACCGGGTGGCGTTGACAGGTTGAAAGAGTCACTCTCGCGGATCATTTTGCACCATCTTTCAATCGTACAAAGACTTATAGCACCGTTCAAATCACGAAAGATCTTCGTTGGTTTGTCTCCATTTTCGTACTTCGAAAGTACAAGTTTCTGCAAGTCTTTACTTTTTCATGACCTGAAGAGGAATATCCAATGAACCGCAATACACAGTTTTGTAGAGAGTTTTATGGCGAATCTATTGAAAACATATTAAAGTGTCAGTGATATAAATTAAACAAGATATCAACGAAATACTGAGACCCTCATTTATTCTGGCCCACTCGATAGTTCCTAGCGTTAATGGAAGCTGTTTTCAGATCTAGAAAACTCAAAAACGCGGAAGGTGTCGTTTTTCTTAAAACACACGTCTTTTTCAAGATTCGCAAAATTTTCTGTTTCGCTCTTCTTGCCAGCTTAGGGGAATAATTTTTTCAGATTTAGCGTTAAAAACTGAGTATAGAAAACATGTTAAATCGACTTTAACTCAAGGAGCCTTTTAATCGTGGCACCTCGATCTGCGCTCATTGCAAGATGTATAGGTCGTTTTCATAAACCTATCTAGCTTTTCTGGTTAAGAGAGGAGGTGAAATATTTTATCTCATTCGATTCATCATACCACCAGTCACAAAAGTACGCATCCTTTTTTTTTCTTTGACCAGGAAAAGCGGAACAAATGAGTGAACAATAAAGGCTCCTTGTGGTGTTTGCTGTTGTCGCGAGGATGAATTATCGGTTTTGAGATGCCCATTTAGTGCTTCTGTATAGACTTTATCCAAAAATGGATTCGATCAGATGTGTCTGCTCTCTAATCTGACATTGATAGAGTTGCATATTTTACTTGAAAACAGGCGTAGTAGATGAGAAAGCTGATCTAGGCTAACTCCTGAAGCACAGCACATACTGACTTGATACTCAGTATTTAGAGATTTCTAACTGTCATCTTTCTTTCTGTCTCCAGAAGGTTTTCTCCAAAACCTTAAAGCGCAGGATTTCCAGAAAACCGCGGTTTTTGAGCTACTTGTCCTTCTTAAAAAGCGTTTTCAGCAAAATTTGGGGACGATAAAGGGTTTTGAATGACATATTCGGATTCAGTGTCTCAAGGCGAACATTTTGAAAAAAGAATGAAATCTTTAACTCAAAATCTCAGTTTTTAAGTTTTATTTTAATTTTTTATTATTCAACTTTTTTTGAAATTTAAATATCTCAGCTCAGGTGAGCGATAGGCGTTTCGTTCAGACACATCTGATAGAGAATTCAAAACTGAACAAATGTAGATGTTCGGCAAATGTATTATGGGAAAATCTTCCTTACTAGACAATCCACGATGCATTGTGAAAAACCACGGTTTTCTGGAAGACCTTCCTAGGGTTTTGGAGAAAACTTTCGAGAGACAAAAGGAAAGAGGACAGTTAAAAACCTCTAAACGCTGAGTTTAAAAGGGTTTGGATTAGTAGTTTAAAAGACAGGTTTCTCATCTAACACGCCTGTTAGTTTGGGAGAGTGAGTTTTTTAAGGCTTCTTCGAAAACTTTGTCAAGATGCACCAATATAGCTTTAATGACTGTGTAACCTAACATAATATTTGAAGGAAAACACATACAGATTGAACAATTCATTGAAACTACTATTTCATGTGCTTTGTGCTCTGATTCGTTGTTTCAAAATTTCTTTACTCCATTATTTACATTCGTCATACAAAATAACACAATCAGAACTTTATTGAAAAACTTCGATCGAAACTTGATCTATCATTGAATCAAATGCACGACAAATCGTCTCATTCAAAACTCAGTCTTAAAGAACAGTGTCGTCTAGTCATTAAAGATCGTATTAAGTCATATCAAAATGATGTAAAAATATTGCCTATATTATCGTTGACATTGATTAATTACTGTACGTACGATTTTTTCGATTCGAATTATGTACAAATCGTGAATGATAAAGTGATAAAACATGGTGCATTTGTGACATTTGTGATGTTCATGATGAACATGCTTTTTTTCGTTTTTTTGTTCTTTTTGCTTGAATTATGTATTCTTATTTACCTAGGTTCAAATAAAAGTATTGGCATCGCGTGTGTGGAAATTCTTGTGAAACAGCCCATTACTAGGTTTCGAAATGAATAAAGAATCAAAAAAAAATAAAAGTAAAAATATCCGTGAGATGCTAAATGCAAGTAAATACAGATGTGTTTAAACAATTAATTAGTTATATATATATATGAATGATGTCATATTGGATGTATATCGAAATTTCAACATTAAGTTGTCATTTATTCGATTTGACCATTATGTTGGCTAGGTTCGTCTCTAGACTGCATTGGAACGTCTAAAAGATTATAATGTATGCTTAACAAATCATTCAATAGCTGGCATTAACTGTCTCTATGTCTCTGTTTTCTTGTATATCAAGGATATCGCGTTGCTTTAATGCAACGTGATCATTATAATATAATATTCGAATAAACCATATCTCATTTGTAGCTTCACATGCTACTAAGATTCTCCACTAATTTCTGAAGACTATTGTTGTCGTAATTGCATCTAAATCAAACTGACTTACACTTTCAAGATTTGTCCATTGAAAGCATCTATTATGATCTACTCATTTTTTGCTGTCATTATGCATCTTATATTATCTAGGATTTATTTTCTTGCATAAAAACTACATTTCTTAACTCAGTATAAGCACCAGATTATTGAGAGCATAAACAACACTCTTGATGCATAGCGGTATCAATCAGTTTCGATTTAGATAATATCACTCGGCTATACAACTAGCAGCACCTGTCAAAACATCATTTTTACGCATAATATGCGTCGAACAATTCACTACAAATAACGGTATCGTCCCGATTCGTCGACAAATCGGACACTTCAAAGAAAATACATCAAAGAATTTCAAAGGCGGTAGGGGCGGTGTGAGAGTGAGTGTCGACGAATCGGGACTGAATCCAAATAACGAATAGAATGAAACTAATTTTTTTTGTCATGAAAGAAACATCTTACTGTTGATAGTAGCAACGCGAGTTGTACAATGTCGAAATTTCTCCACGATCTTGATCAGAAACGGTGCAATTAACCGAAGTATGGCAATTAGACCACCGTAAAGACTAAGTAAAAGAGTGAACGTATGAGAAAAATTAATTTCATCGCTGGTAGTATAAGTGCAGAATGACGGAGCACATTCATCAAAGTAATTTTGATGGTTCATTTCTGTTGTCCATTGTTCAATAAACAGATCAAAAACAATTGCATTCAATGGCACATGATGCCGACTTGAGGTAGAAAGTGGAGTGATCTCTATGTAATTAAGATCTGGACAATAGTTGGTCCATATGTTGAGACATGTGATATTGTATGAACAATCAAGTGTGCTGACGAGAAGAGCCTCCAATGAAGTACGTGCTCCGAAAAATCCAGCGGCCGTTGCAGAAGGAACTTGTGCAGGATAACCTGAATCTATGGATCCTCTCATATGCTGATACACGCTGTCAAAAAGTGGAATTAAGTAGAAAGCAGCTGGAACGATTGGATGCTGGAAAGCACAGCTCAAAACATCAGATTTATTGTGGGTTACCCGCATCATCGTTCTCTACATCCTTTATCGCTTTTTGATGGCTTAAAAGAAAAAAAAAGTATTTACTTATTCACGTATACACAAATATTTCTATGTGTAATAGAATCATCCAACCATGTATACTTCCTTGGTTTTTTCCAACATAATACAGTTTTAACGTCGCTTATAACTTAGCAATAAATACGATTGATAGGTTGATTGCTCTGTATTTTTTACATTTAGTTGCGTTCGTTTTTTTTAATCAAATTTCTTATTCCATGCACGACTAAAAACCATGTATTCTGGTCGTGATATACTACTTCGTCTCGAAGGACTGTGTAATACCCGTTTTTCGATAACTTCGATGGTTTTTTGTGATAAAAGTCATGATTTTATAATCGATTTCTCGTTAAATAGAAGTGCATCAAATTGTCACTATTCTAATCTAACTTTTTCTTTCATATCAATTTCCAATGTTTATGCTTGAAAAGTGTATAAATTGTATGGGACTGCTAATCTTTCAAATCTGTGAATATTTCGCTAACTGATTGATCATGAGTCATTTTCAGCCTAAATTGTCACGGTTTTCACGATAAAGAATATTAAAAGTAAAGTGTAAAATATGTTCGTTTTCTCTTACCATATTTTAGTCATTCACTCAGTACAGTCTTCCTGAGACATGTTTTTAGTCTAGGGCTTGAGTCAATTGTCAGCAAGTAACTTCACTCTCAATAGATTAGAGTAATTATGTTTGAATTGAAAAATCATTGACTAACGCCGAAATAAATGAATGACTCTACTATGATATCGAAAGAAAATACAATATTTCACATTTTATACTTGTTCGCGATATAGAATTATCTCGGGTAAAAATCAGACATTCTAAAGTACAGTAGAGCCTTAAAAATACTAACACATTGATTACTCTTTTATCCTCGCCAGTGTATTGCAGATAAATTCCAGGAAAGTACACAATGCAGCAACAACAATACTTTCATCGTATTGATATTGATATTCCTACAATGAATTATCGAGATACAGGATCATCTTCAGCAAAGTACGATAATGTTCAGGTAGTCACAGTACATCAGTTAAAACAAATATTTGATGAGTTTATTCAATCACCATCGTTTTCATCACGTCATTTAATAGAAATACTTGATGTCTTGGATCGAATCGATGACAAAGAACTTCTCACTGATGCTCAATTAATTGACCATAAAGTTTATTCGATACACATTTTCATGTTAAAAGATTTATTAAACAAATGGCACACTAGCAAAGTTTTCACACAGTTTGAGTCGTCTTACTTATTTCCTTCTCTTACCAAACTCTTCTGTAAAATGAATTACTATTCAATAGAGTTATTAGAACCATTGAGAAAATGTTTAAATACCATCGCAAAGGATGGACGATATTTAGATGATTTAAATGGTATGGAATATTTATCCCGCTTGATACATCTCTATATAGTGGAGCAGATTATGAATGCAGTCGTAAATTTTCTTTGCTCGGATTATTATTTAGATATGTTTCAACAAACTGAAAAAGCGGGAAATCTCTATCATTAATATGTCCAAGATATTTTCGGAATTATCAAGGTGAGATGCAAATACTATACATTTTCACTCATTTCTTCAATGTTCTACCTTTATTGAGTAGGTCCACAGAAAAAAGAAATGGCAGAAAAGATATTGAATACATTAAGAGTACAGCTCAGTTGCTGAAATGCTATTCAAAATCAATGGAAAAACCCATTGTTGACTTGCTGCATATACTAAATTATAGTTTTCACTTATGCATGGCAGCAACACTGTTCGATACTGATCAATTACTACCACTCGTAGATGCATTATTAGCAATATTAGATGAAAAAACACTGTCTCTGCAAGAAAATTCATCCATTATTAAATATTCTCTTGATCTTCTACGAACTTTAACCAATAAGAACGAAGCAGTTCTGAAATATGTTCAACAACGAGACGATGTTTTCCAAAGTTTAAAAGAATTACATCGTGACGATAATAAAAGCTTATTATCAGACACAAGAACACCATTTTGGCATCGAAGAGACGAAGAAAATGATATACACGGTGAGTCTACATTTCTAGTAGTAGTCACACTATCACTGCTTCAACTAAAAATGATGAACGTTTCATTTACTGAATACGAACGAAAAAATTATTGAACAAGAGTTATCTACGAATTTTTATTAATCTATATTATACGATATCTCAGAGACGTAACAGAGGATAAGAAATGCCACATTACAACAACATCCCATCGATTATTTTCTATCGAAGACGATTAATTCAGCGATGTATTTTTTTAGTTAATGCGTTTTTTTTTTCAGTACATGTCGCATCAACGATCACTTCAGAAGTAATTGCAAATAGTCGTCAAGCAGCAAACACGGTTTTTTCATCAATTTTTGCATCAAATGAAAATCAAAATAAAGAAGAAATCACGCTGATTTCGTGTGATCAAAATATTGGCGTTCATGACGACGCTAAAGAAACAGTTGAGTTACTAAAGAAAGTGAACGATTACATCCTCGTCTGTTCGAATGCTGATACGTGTTACGAATACATTAACCAAATTCAAACAGAAAAAGCATTTTTGATTTTATCAGGTCAAACTGCAAATGATATAATTGACAAAGTCCATGGTTTGGAACAAGTTGATTCTATATATATATTTTATATGAACATTATTTAAAACAACATCATAAGCAGTACTTACTTCAAGATTGTTGGAATATATACAGAACATGAACCATTATTGCGAGCTATACAGGAGAATATTCGTTATTTTATGAAAAAATCACAAGCGGCAAGTTTGTTTAATCAATATGAACGGTCGATAAGAGGTTTAACTAGTGAACCATATCGTTTTGATGTCTTGCATACATTTAAGTATGTTTTATTCAGAACAGACTATGATAAAGAAAATGCAAAACGAAAAATGATAGAAATATGTCGAAATTATTATCGAAATAAGGTCGTTGGTCTGGAAAATATCGATAAATTTTAGCAAACTTATAATTCAAGCAATGCTATTCAATGGCACACACGACCAACATTTGTTTTTCGACTGATTAACAAAGCTCTAAGAACAGAAGATTATGAAGCTTTATTAACTCTTCGATTCTATATTATTGATCTATGTAACGCTCTTCGACTGAAGTATGATGAATTAAAGCAAGATCAACAGA